GTTACACGAAAGGCGTAGAATACTTTGAAAAAAACATTAAATATATAAATATTTTTATCGATAATTAATAAAAAGATAAAAGAATTGTAAATTGGAAATTGCATGGAAAATTTTTGAAAACTTAAACCTAACGAACAACTTTAATTCAACAAGAATCCCAACAGGGAATTCAATGATTTTTTAGTGATATAAAAAAAAGGCTGTAAGAAAAAGAAAATTCCTTGTAAAGGAGTAAGGGGTATGCAATATTTAATTTTTTTCCTTGAATTTAAAAAAATTGAAGGTTTCTCAATACAAAAACCGGTCAGCTCCATTTTTTGATGAAAACGACTTTTTCAGCGGATTTAATGTACCAGCAGACATTCCGCGTTCTTTGATATAAGAAACGGCAGCTGCGAACAAAGTGATCTTTACATATTTTAATGAGTTTTTTTTTCGGAAAATATTTTGCATAATATGACTTGGTGTCTAATTGTAAAACAGTTTCTTACTAATACCATAAGTTTAAGAAAATAAAGCTGGATCGATTTTTGCACGGAGCCCTTCAATTATTTCCTTGATATATCAATATTCCTGGAAAATGTTATAACCGAAGGAAGCACACGAATAGCTTACGTGTTCGAGTGAATTTCCAATACGTTCTTCCGCAACGCGCCGCTGCACGTCGCCGTGAAATTTCGTTCCGGCAGAAATTAGTTTCGTTTCTGGGCTTTAAAGGTAGGCGGCAACACTCTAAATGGCAGTACCTCCGGGGCATGACCTATTTCGAAGCTCGTTGGCAAACCAGTTACGCCTTGCTAATCATTATTGCATACTTAACTTTCGTTGTACGACGGGCGGCTTGGCCCTTGGGCGTTTCGAGTTGGCAAAAAAGAGAAGAAACAAATCGCGACATTAATGGAAAAATAACGGTCAATATTGACTCTTTATTTTACGCTTCAGCGAAATCGTTGACCAATTACTAAACTCGAACGTCGAACAATCAATTGAACGAAGGTCAGACTATGAGTTTCGCAGTCATTCGGATTTCTCGATAATTGACATCGGAGGGATAAAGGACAAATTTTATGGTAACGGAGAGACCGATGTGTTTGCACAAAGCGACGAACATTTCGCACGAATCTTGGGGCCGAGTACGAGCAATCACGCCTCCTCCTCCTCCTCCTCTTCCCCTGCCCTCTCCGCCAAAAGTCCTGACAAACTCCCTTTACGCCAGGGGGGACACATCCCCCGATAAGAAAGTTTTCCGCGCGAGCCGCCGAATCTGTATTTACCTTTGGCGCGCACACCGTGTACCCGGATTATTTATTTTTCCCCGGTGGTTACACAGAGCACACCGGGGTACAGTACGGGGGTGGGGGAGTTGCCGGCGTCTCCGTTATTTCGCCGACCGACGGACGAACGGCACCATCGTCGTCGTCGTTGGGAATCGTTACGTATTCCGCGTCGCGCGTCTCGTGCGCGGAATTGCGAGTTGGCCCCGATTTCGCGAAAGAACGTTTCGGCGAACTTTGATAATCACTCGAAATTTCGCCGGAGCCGACCTCACGTGCAATTTTACGATGGCTCGAATGTGGGAGTGCCCCCGAAAAAATGTCCGCACTTGTATTCTCGGGATAATTTATTCTCTTCGAACGCGAAAATCAGGTCAGCGTAGTACTTCTAAATAAAGAGACTTTTCTTTGGAAAAATTAAGTTCCGAGGGTAAATAAAGAAAACCAATTCACTTAATTTCCAACACAGGAACATCGAACGAACACACACAAAAAAAACATGACGTTTAATCGGGTTTTCGACCAAAGAAAAATTAATTTCAAAGTTATCGGAAAAACTCGCACCATGGATATAAAAAAAAAATTTTTTTAATATATCCGAGGTGCACGAGGTGTAATTTTTTAATTAATCCTTTATAGCCTGAAAGACGCGAATTTAGCCTACTAAATATATTTATTCCTTGCTTTCTATTTTCAACTTCTGCTCTCCTTCCCGTGCGTTACATATACCTTTGATGTTCGTCCGAGCTCTCTCGCGGCTGGATTAACCATCAATTAATCAACAACGAGCGCACAAACGTTGACAACGCTAATATAAAATTATTTGTGCGCGCGCGCGAATATGCGACAACGGGTGTGTGATAAATTCATATACCGTCGCGAACGGAATGATTTGTTAATGGACGTATCAGCCTCGGGGTGTCGCAGTCTCTCGCTGCAAGCAGCAGCAACAGCAACTGCAATTGCTGCGGCAGTCGCAGCAGCGTTTTGCTCGTTTGTTCCGCCACGCTTGTGGAGCACCGGGAGAAACGGACGCGCGTACGGGTCGGCACAGAGTCCACCCCCCCCCCCCCCGGCCGTGTGCTGAGTAACATTGTTTGCGTAGAGGAGAGAGAGAGAGTAGGAGAGGAATACGCTGACGCGATCGCGACGCGGGGAAACATCCTCGGAGAGACGACTTACGGATTTTGCACCAGCACACACCGAAAATACTTGCGACCTGCGCGAGTGGATACCGTACAAAAATACGTTTTCTATAGGTATACCTTACACACAACGAGCTCCGCCTCGAAGGCCGGAACGACCAAAGTCGGTGTTTATTTAACTCTCTCCGCGCGGCTCGGAAGAGCTCGATGGCAAGGTCTATATCAGATATGAGAGAACGTTGTTCTCTCCTTCATCCCGAAGTCCCGGGGACGGCATTGATTGTTCCGGCTTCGTGACACGTCAGTATACATCCTAAATGTCATTTATATCAAAGGGTCGGGAACCTATAAACTTAATCTGGAGACAATCGCGGGCGGTTACGATCGCATGATCGCGATATGTATTTTCGATTATTATAACAAAGTATCTCCTATCAAGCGAGGTCTCGATCGAACCGGCACCGTTTACTTAAAGACGCCGTTTTCTTTATCAAAAAGTTTTATATGTAATTACGAGCGTTTCTTATAGTTTACGAGTCACCGAGAATATATATATTTTTTTCCATGAAAAAGTAGTTTTCTGTCTAGGTGAAAATTAACGTGATAAGAACACACTTGGAGGCAGCGTGTCGGTAATCCACATCTGGAATGTCTAAGCTATCACTTTCCGCATAATCTAAATAGATAAATGAGGCGCCTGGGGCAAAAACGCGTACCCAATCAAGATAAAAAAGTTCCTCTTATACGTTCGCTGCGTGAATTAATAACAAAAAATATCATATTCGTATTATATCAAAAATTATATATTATAATCACAATTAATGTTTACTGAAAGTATTCATCAATATTTCCTGTATATATTTATTTATAAATAGAAAAAGAAATCAACATGCTGCAAGATAACTGTTTGAATTTTTGAAGAATATTTCTTCTCATCAGCTCCTTCTTAAATGACAAGTTATCTGTTATTGCTTGCGGTTGGATATATAGTGATAGTTTAGACATTCTACTGATAGACTATTATTTTTTCGCTGGAGAATAGAAAATATTTATATAATCGGAAAATTATCTACAATGTACAGTCATTCGTAGGAAATTGAAAAAATAGTTTTATCTCCATGATTACGAGAGAACATTCTCGTAGTCTTTCCTTCGATAGTATTACTAAAATATCATTTCGTTTAACCTTAGATACAAATTTATTAGAAAAACCGCGTAATGATAAAAAAAATTTCCTGTTTCGTTTCTCAATCTATCGTGAATATTAATTTGATTATTACACTTGCTAAGGTCGTGTTCTAGTTTCAGTTAAATATGCGAAATAACGTATCTCTCTTCAACGTTCTGCTTCACGGCTACTCGAATTTTCTCTCGCTCTCCTGGAAAAATAGGTGATACCTTAATTACCGCCTTTCGTAACGAACCGCCGACGATTTATCGACGGTAGCCCGACGATCGAGTAATCATCGATCTTGGCCCGAGGCGACGTGGGGATTGAGGCGATGTGGGTTACAAGCCGACGGGCGGAAAGCGAGACGAGGCGAGGCGAGTGAAATCAAGGCCCGTCGCACAAAAGCCGCCGTGCGCTCAAGCCGCAGCCCGCTTGCGCGGCGGCATATACACGGTACGACGTACACGCTACTGGGGACAATAATTATCAGGCAAACTTTATAACGAACTTGGACATAGTACTCGCTCATCCGTTGCGAGTCCTCTCTGCCGGAATCGACGTCGTCCCGATATCGACGTCGACGTCTCCTCCTTTGTCGTGAACGACGGACGATTAATGGCAGATCGCGTGAGCCTTCTCTTTCTCTCTCGCTCTCTCGCACACTTTCACGTTCGCGAACGCCCCGGATTGTCGGCTCAATACGGCTTTCACGATGTACGGATGCCCGTTTATTTTAGGATGACGCGAAGAGATTTTATCATGAACTCTATTTCGGCAGAGTTTATCATTCCAGCATGATTCCAATGCTGTATCTATAATCATTGTATCTTTGACTATTGGAAAACGTCATCTATGAGATAATAATGGCAAGAGAAGATGTAATTTTGTAAATGAAAATTCCGTAATTTTTTAAACGATTATTTTAACCCTTAACTGATATCATCGATGACTCTAGCTTGTATAATTTTGATATTTTTTCCGAGATTCGGCATTACTAATTTTATTCAGCTATCAGCTGAATAAAAATCCCGAAAACGGACTAACACTATTCGTGCCAAGAATGTTTCATTTATATAGCTTTTAAAAAATATTTATTTTTGGAAAACAAAATATTGTTTTACCTCAACCGTATTTAGCGTATTTCTCTACTTCTCTTACTTGTGTTATTCAAAATATTGATATTTTTTTTAAAGTTACCTAAATATAATAAAAATATCACAAAAAATCCAAAGTTTGTATTTATTTCAGTGTAAAATATTATACAATAAATTTGAGTCGTACTGATAACTCTATTTTGTATGTAATAAAAAAAAATATCAATTAAGGGTTAAAAATACGAATTTTTACGTAATTTCAACGTTTGCTGTGAAAATGATTGTAGGAGTCGTTAATAAATCTTATATCTTTACATATGTGGATAAGGGATCTTGATAAGTATTATTTAAATTGCCTTACATATATGCGTATACGCGCTCTAATACTGAAATTGAAGGATATATTTCCGAAAATATCTTTTTCGACTCTTTTCACGAAGGCACTTGAATATTATTGCTACGCTTAATAAATCGAAGATTAAATCTTCGAATCTAAAAAAAAAAACGCTGCAGTGAATATTCCACTTCTTCGTTTCGCAGTTGGAATATTTTTTTGCGCTTATTCCCGAAATTCATATTCTCAAGCTGTCTCCTTAACAGATTTAATATTTCATAACTTTATATAACTTTACTAAAGCAACGTTACACCGTGCGATTGTACATTTCACCGATTCCATCTCCGTCGAAGGTATATCGGGAGAAAATCTCGGAGAGAAAATATCTTTTATATTAAAAATATTCCGTATACATCGGACCGCGTCTTCTCGGCACGTCTCGCGAACACGCTCGCAACTTATGAAAATAAATTTCTCGATTAAGTAATATCATAGTGAACTACATAGCTAGCACTTTTTTTACGAGAAGATGTTCTCGTCCTTCGTCAAATGAATCCCGTCGAAGTCGTCGCCCGGCGACGCGACGTCGGCATCGCTGGATGCACGGACGACACAGCGATTCGCGACGAAACGCTTATAGGCTCGTCTCAAAGCGCGGCTCAGGAGCCGCGTCCTTCGTGGCACTGACATAACATACAACCCGCGCCAACGACGTCACGCATTCCATCAGTGTAACGGCCAGCCGTTCGTAGAAACGTGACAGGGAGCCCTCCGTTCCTCGCAATTGGAACGACCCTGAACTACTCCTCCTGCGTCGTCCGACGCAATGGCGTACTTTCACCGCCACTTGGAGAGACCCCGAGGTCCGGCCGGCCCGATCGACCGACCGACCCGAAAACGCCCGATCTCTCGTCTCTTGAGTTCTCGTCGTCGCGCGACCCCGAGAGAAACGTTCATCCGTACGATCCTCGTACCCGATCTTTCAAGGACGCGAAACGCGAACTTGACACGTTCTTGTCACAGCAATTTTCTCTACTCGGCCTTCTCCGGTGGTTTCCCCAACTCGAAATGGGAGTCTCGCGGAAGCGCTCTCGCGCCTTGCCCGTGCAGGTTGATAAAGAGGTATCCAAGTCGTTAATGACACATTAGATGGCCGGGGGGAGGGGGGAGTAATGTTGCAACGATAATCACTAGATACGTTCTTGATGATTATGGGGGACCAAACGGTGTGATAATTGGCAGGTCAGCAAGGTCCGATGAGTATATTATTCGCGATCAAGTGCGCCGACCATCGTGATATCCTCAATGGGAACGTTTTGACCCGTGGTTTCCAGTCTTTTAGTTTGTCTATATAATTATCTTTATTTATATTGGACCAAGTGTGTGTATCGTCGGAATTCTAAAGGGAACCATCGATACTCCTTTCTCGAAAATTGCTCCAATGGACCGATCGCAATATTCGGAACGTTCTCCTTTAATCCTCCTCTCCCACAGCAAGCGACATCCAGCCCGCGCCGTATTCTTCTTCATTTCCTTCGCCGGTCCCACCTTCCCGACCGCAAGTCGATGACTAGTTTTAGATAAATCCACATCAGAGCGTGCGCGGTGACTCCAATAAAATCCAATTGGCGCCGCGAGCGAATTCCCTCCCCGTTCTTTCCATGATGAGAATCTACGACGTCGTAGCAGCAACCAGCTGCCTTTAAGTCGCACTTCGCACATCACGTCCTGGTGCCATTTCTCTCTCATTCTCTCTCTCTTTCTCTCTTTCTCTCTCATATACACACACACACACATACACACACACGCACACAAATCTAAATCGATCACCTCGGTCGAGTGATGACCGAGAAAATATCCGACGTAAGACCAAGTTTTCGGGAGAGCCGACTCCGATCACGCGCGCGAAGCGCCGACGGACGACGACCGGTAATTTCGACTACGCGACGATGTCCATGTCGGACGAGGAGTTCGACGTGGTCACCGCCAGGCTGCCGAGGGTGTCCTCGTCTAAGCCGTGGTGACAGCCGGTCGCAGGTGGACTCAACGGTGGCAGGTGCGGCGACGACAGCATCGGGTCGCCGCCGTGCACGGGGCCGCCGGTGTCGTCCTCCATGAGGTCCTCGAGATGCGACATACTCAGACTCGTCGCGTCCTCCGTCACCGTCAGATCCGGCATCTACGGCAGAAAAACAATTCGACGTCCTGTGAAACGTGCCGTTCCTCGCGAGAAACGCTGAAGCTCGGACTCGGTCGGACCTGGACTGGACTCAGCACTCGGGATGCGAGGCGTGACGGGAGAGGTGAAGAGAGAGAGAGTGAGTTTGACAAGTATTTCCGGGATGCGGGATCCGCTATGAAAGTAGGAACGGATATACGCTGGAAATCCATTGTAAAAATAAGGATGTTTGGACTGTCAATCTTCCGTGAGAGTAGGACTGGATGCGTCGGGTGAAGTCGTCGCGGTTGAAAGCGGGAATGGATATGCGCTTATACTTGATTCATGTTCGTCGCTGGTTAATAATGTGCGATGCGGAAATCGAGTTTACGCGTGTGCGAGGAATATTGAACGTTTATTGCTATTTACATTGCACATGTGATAGGATCTGATGAGATTCGTGGCGCAATGGGCGATAAGGAATTTAGAGAGTATCAATCGAAGCTGTTAGATGAAACAACGATATTCGGAGATTCGAAGTGTTCGTGATCTTTCAATTGAATATTCAGTCTTAAAAATATTGTAAATATCTAATAAATAAAAAAATTGTACTAGCCGCAAGTATAAAGTACTTCCCCCTCCCCCCCTTTTCCGCCAATAAATTAAAATAAACCTGCCCGTAAACGTTCGATATTTAGAAAAATAAATTAAAAAATATTTATTCTTTAATTTTAATATTTAATATTAGTTCTCCTTGAGCTTTTATTTCCGTTTTTTCCAAGAAAATGCAATAAATTGAAGATGCTTTATATTTACGGCCAATGCTGTATAGGTAAATATGATAGAATGCTTTCAATAAAACAATAAAAAGGATCGGAAGAAGTGAAACGGCACACTTTCTTTCGATTGCAAACGATTTGAGAAATTAAACGATCGGTATTATCAGGGCTTAAACGTCTACATTATCCCAGTACACATTATCGGAGTAAGCTGATTGAAGCTGTTTCTACGCCAGGCGCAGTTAACTCCGGCAACTTTGTAAAGTCACAGACGGAGGGGGTCGGCTTACCGGAACCGGAATTAATTTCCAATCGCATTTCAGGCGCAAACGACTGTGATCCAATTCGCCTGCCGTTATATTACCGATGCAACTAATTCGTCGGATTACTTGCCGGTCTACACTGAATTTATATGAATTATGTACGACAAGGCTCGCTCGTGTTACACCGTATAATACCAAATTAAAGGAGCAATGCGGGACAAAGCATAACACTATAACATTTGTACAAAAATGTTTTTTTAAGATTTTTATAAATTGACTGACATAATTTCCATAAATTAGTGATTCATCGGAGATTAATGGGGGCGGCGCAATTTTGCGGAAGGAGAGAGAGAGAGAAAAAACGTAGATATCATTTTTTATCCGTTTTAATATCCGATTTCATATTTGACGCGGTATTCCGCGAAGTGATCGCAGGCACCGTTTTACATAACCGTCGCGTACTCGAACGACGGACGCGGAGGGCGTTAAATTTGCATGAAAAAATGCCGCGGCGTGCCGTTGCGCAACGCCGCGTTTCTGACGTTGCAGCTCATTCGGCGATTATCCTTTGTCCCGACGTCGGAGTGGCGCGCACAGGCCGCGTTCTCCTTTCGCGAAAATATACGCGCCGGAGATGCGAGATAAAAGGTATAAGTCTCGCGTGAGGTGGCACGTACGATAAGGGGGCAAACGAAGGGGCGATAAGGACCGCCCGCTCTCACTGCGGACTTACGCACGATGCCGGGTGGTAAAGGTAAATATTTTGCACGACATTCAGACGCGTGCGGATTTAACGTGTGCAATTACGTTTGCAATTATGCAATCTCGGAACGAAACGTTGCGCAAAATCCTTCGCGCGTGTAGTTAAGAAAATCGCGAGTCTTTTTTCTAGCAGAAATAATTTATCGTCACTCGGAATAAGAGCCACTTTTTGCAAACTGCGCACAGTTAACAAAAAATTTGTTATTAAGTTTAACACGTTTCACATATCGCAAACGTATAGTTCTCGACAGATTAGTAAATATCATCGCCAGGAAACAATCTCTTTATAAAAGCTATACTTTATGTATAACAATAATAATAATTATATACATATTCCGTTCTTGCCTTTTTCCGAAAAATAATTCATAGTTTATCTGAGGCGCATTTGTACGACATCGTTTACATTTCGCGCAAGATAAATCGAGGAACGAAATTAACGTTAAGCAAACCGGCGGTTAAGTGTCGCAGTAAAATTCCCCGTGCAATACGCGAGACACTTCCCTCGCCTCGGTCGTCGGAACTCGTCGGCGCGATTCGCGGAGCGGGACGTTATCAATGTTTAAATTTCTCTAACCGCGAGGAAGCTGCTTGTCAGACTACTTACGCCCCGGCGGAACTTTATCTCGGAACAATAATTCAACTCATCCCTCGCTCGTGGTACGTCATCTCGCGTCTCTCTCGTTATCTCGCGCGTCGCAAGCGCGACTCCGAATATTTCCGAAAGCGCGGGCGTGAATTATAACGTCAATGCACGCAACAGTCGTTCTCTTCCATGTGCCGTCATATATAAGACGCGGATAAGATTTTAATGTTCACTGAAGGAACTCGAGAGAGAGAGAGAGAGAGAGAGAGAGAGAGAGAGAGAGAGAGAGAGAGAGAGAGAGAGAGAGGACATAATATTAAGGACTAACTCGATAAAATTAGAATAGTCATAATAGAGATAAAGAAAAGCAAAAATCGAAAGAATCACGTTTTGCTTTTTTTATACGTCAATTATTTGAGATGCCTATTGAAAACTATATAATACAAAACTATAATACCTTTGCAAAAAAGGTTAAAAAAATGGCGCGAAATGCATGCGTTCCTCGTACATAAGATTTGATTAAAAAAAGTAGCATCAATTCAGTCAGTAAAATCAAATATAATTATTATACTTCTGCAGTTTATATATCATAAGAAATCTAATATGTAAATAATATATAATAATAATAATAATGTTCCGTTATATTATTATTTATTATTATATTTTTAAATAAGAAGTATTTTATAAACTTCAAAAATAGCTTGAGTATTGCATGATATGTACACAATGCAAGAAGAATATATCATAATTAATCGATTACTTTTTCCAATTTCTGCACATAATAATCTCATATACGTACGTCATCTCTTCAACGCTTCAAACTTATCATTAAAAGTTTTGCGGATATGGGCGGACGTCAGTTAAGCCGGTGTGCACGAGTGTAATAAAAATGTTAATAACCTCTCTGTTTCTCTGTATCTCCCCACGGCGACGCGGCCTCTTTAAGAGGCCCAAATCTGTCGTCGTCGTCGTCGAAATGCGGCACGGTCGTTATCGGAACTTCAAGAGTTCTTAATCGCATCACGAAGCCGCGCGCGCGCGTGCACGTCAAACCGCGTATGCACGTACGTGCGCGTACCTTATCTGGCTCACTAATTCAACGGTATAACTTTTACCCGCTCGTCAGATATCTCCGTCATCGGGCGTTCTAAAGAGCGACGACGACGGCGAGCAAGCGCCGACGGCTATCTCCCCGGAGATCCCACTTCCTCCGGTCCGGGAGTTCGCCGGGGAGAGAAGTCGTAATGAGGGGGCAAAACGAACGAGGGCGATTTGCACGACGAGCCAGACCGCGATAAGCCGCAATTCATTATTCCGGACAATAATCCGTTGCCGATATAGAATGGCCAGATGGGAAGTCAATTGCTATGTATAGGTATATATATCGAAAAATTAACATTTCAAATAATAACAAATAAGTAAATACAACAAAGCGACAAGTAATAATTAGCTCCGTTCGAAAAGAAAATTATAATATTCGCAATAATAAAATATATAAAGTATAATTAAATTTAATTAATATAAAAAAAGTTCATCTTTTTATGGGGATTATTATTGCAATTATTATGACTGGAATTGTAAAACTGTGTGTGTGTATATAAAATTGAAAATTTACATAATGCTCGCGTGAGAGCCTACAAATTGTCACGTTCAAGTGCGAACGAGAATTTCGAAAGGTGTCTACAAGGCTCAATAATGTTGGCGGTCCCCCGCGATCGCTTCGTCATCGAGAGATCGAACGGCGCGGCGCTTGAGAGATCGAATGAAAGTCGGTCGAGGCGCGGCAAGAGAACGAGATACGTCAATTGTGCGTAAATGAGAAAATATATTTCTCATTATGCAAACACATGGCTTCGGATCGATTCTTCGGTGTTGCATAATAAAACCGTTAACGTTGTCACTGTCAAAAGACGGCGTTGCCTACCGCCGCTCGTGTGCACGAGAATATATCGATAAATTCGGAGAGAGAGATCGCGAACGAGCGAGCGAACGAACAAGCTATTCGCCTCCGTCCCTCTTTCTCTCTCGGAACAGATGCACGCATTATGAAACTAGTCTGGCGAACGAACGGAAGGTTTATTCGGATCAAGGATCGGATCGTTACATCGATGTGCCCGTCGAACGCTGCAACATCGAAAACCAATCGCGCGACTGTCGCATTAAGATTAAATGACTCGCCGTTACGAAACTACGTTTAATAAAGCTGACCGAAATTAATGATATTATTCGTATACCATCGCGTATTAAGAGTAAAAGTTTCCTCACTAGCTGAGTAATAACTCACTTATTAATTGCTTATCGAAAATCGTTACGTAATATATAAAAAATGTTAACGTTCATAAAGAGATTAAAAAAATGTGTAAAAATGTGTCAAAAAATATAAAAAATATGTAAATGTTATATATAAAAATTGCATGAAAGAGAATATAATGCTTATAAAACTTAAAATTTGTTATTTAACTTTTTAACTGCCTTGTCAAATATATTTGGTCAAAGTGTTAAATAAAATTCGCAAATATCCTGTTTGTGTCAGAGAACAATAGAGATTATTTTATATAATAATATTAAGTGTTATATTGTTTTAATAACATGATTAAAACAATGCACTAAATATATTAAATTTAATATTGAAATCGGCTTGGCAAAGTGTTAACAGAGTGCTGAATATGATTTATTGTTGAAGGATCGGGGATAGACGGGAACGAATCAAAATTAAATGCAGACATAAATTATTACGGATATGAAAGTTAGACGTAAAATTTGCACGATGGATAGAATGCAACAATGTATATATATTCAGAGCAGCGGATGTAACGAAATGTGGATGGGGAAGGACTTTATATGTATACTTACCTTTCGTTGCTCGAGTTTACTCCTCGGGAAGGTGTTGAGCATGGCGGAGGACGCCCAGTTGAAGTCGGTAACCGGAAGACCGTGCGCCTTCGCCTGCAGCTCGAGCTCCTGCACGCGCAGGAGCAGCCGGCGATTCTGGTGCTCCAGTTGCTTGTGCCTGAGCTCGTTCTGCTTCATCCTCGTCAGCTCGTTCTTCAACAGTTTTATATATTCCACCGAGGATTTGAGAATCGTACCCTTGTTCGGCCTGACATCCCTGACGATCTCGTAATATCTGAAAAAGAAAAATATCAGACAACGTTACTTCGTGCTATATAACATTTATGTAGATTTAACGTTGACTTTAATGTATAGAACTGACGCTTGGTGTAATTAAATATATCTTTCCGGATGGAAAATCGGAAGCTCTTTCAGATGTAATTAGATACTCCTGTCTCGGCAAAGCAAAACATTGTAGGAACAATGATTGAGATGTAAGACTGCTGTATAGAAATTTCAATTTCTTGTGTCAGTAACAGCATCTTGAAGCTTGACCTTTTCTCCTCTCTAATGTCCACATTCATTAATCCTTAGAGGACGGAGGAGGAATATTTTATCTTATTTTTATTATTTTTTTAAATTTTACAGCTCGAGTAAGATTTATTATAATTCATTATATTTCTTGCTTTTAAAATATGACACTGTTTCAGCGCCACTATGGTAGCTTCTCGTTCTGTAAAGGTCAATGCAAACACCGTATATTTTTAATTAATGTCAGTGTAATTTATTTTAATTAATGTCTATGTAATTTATTAGTAAATAAACGGAATAATTCTTTCCCTCAAGATACTTCGATAAAATACTTCGTATGACATTTTCGCAATTTTCCTTACGTCAGTGGCACCGAAGGGCTGACAACGTGATTGTGATTTCTCGGTACAGGTTGCATAAAGAACAGCGGTAAGAGGGATTTGCGAGCGTTGCGCTCACGTTTTTCAATTTCCTCCGACTCCTCTCGGAGAAACATAAAAAAGGGCGATGACGACCCTAGCGAAAGGGAGAGTGCCACCGGGAAGAAGGCGCTCCACCAAGCTGCTTGAAACCCCAGTTGCGATTATTTCGTCGTGAAACGTGTTCTAAGACAAGGTGTTTCGCGGGGAGATTCCCAAAGTTCCTCAACCGACCGTAATACGACTGATATTACTGCCTCTCTCTATCTCTCTCTTTCTCTGAGTCACCCCATCGTCGACATTTCGAGGGCGGCCGCGCACCCTCCCCCCCCCCCTTCCCGAGATGGAATTTCGCGCGGGAGCTCGCGCGAAATATCAGACGGACGGAGGCCGATATCTCAACGCAGATAACGAAAAATCCCAAAGAATCTCCATAACACGCGCGTACTCTCCGCACTTTCTTCTCTTCCTCTCTTGTTCTTTTCTCTTTCTCGACGTATCCTCGTGTCTTGCACCTTCGTCAGATACGACGATTTGTCGTTAGTCCGGAGAATTTCTCACGACGCGGTGCACTCGAAAAATTCATGAGGGGCATTCTGCGTATGCGGAAACGAAGGAGAGCGGGAGATAGCATCTCGGAGGTGTCTCCTCGAGCGCGCTCGAGGAGACATTCGCGATGATCCAGCGCGGACAATCTCGCAACGCCAGCGTGAGGAATGCCCGGCAAGCGGCCCGCGAATGAAAACGTAAGAGTAAGAAAAATTCCGAATTGCCAGAGAAAGTGCACATTTCTTTAGAAACGTGTGGCAATTTTTGCCGTCGGACGCCCGCGGCGTCGAGAATGGCTTCGAAATTGTAACGTCCTCTTTCTTGCTCGTACCTTTTGCACATTAATTTCGAAAATTTTATGTATTACGCGAACATGCGGTGCGTGTCGTAATCGCAAAAATATCGAGATCTGGAAAGGAAAGTGTGCTAAATTGTATAAATGTAGGTAGCATTTTTTTCTCGAAAGCAAAACAATACCGTTTCGTGGAAGATCAATAACTCGTTCAAACGGAGATAAGATACAGACGGAGATAAGGCACAGATATTATCTGCAAACTATGTAATTCGTCGCGATAATACAAATCGATGTTTGTAATTAAACTACAGCGCCAGCGAAAAAAAATTAGATTGTCCTATCTTTTGCAGATATGCCATTGCGATAAGTCATTAATCACGTTTCTTTGACATTGATATCGATAGCTGATTTGTTTCGTCACTGCCACGCCGAAAGACAAATATTCCAAGGATTAGTCAGAATGAAGCAGAATAAAATTGAAATTATCTAACTAGTCGAATTAATCTTCAATTTGCAATCCTCGATCTTCAACGCGCAGTCTGAACGCGGGCTTAACGCGAGTCGCAAGGTCAATATATGTATATGAAATTTCCCGTAATGGACGCCAGAGAGATTCGCCCCGCGAGAGTTCGCCGTAGCGATTTAAATATTCCCACGCGAAACTCGGGAACAACACTCACGGATTTTCGTCGTTACTCACGCCTTTTTTTTCTCCCTCACGCCGCCGCCGCGTCGTGCGCCCGCGGTCGTTGATTTACGGCGGAATCGTTTCGTCGATTTATCGCTCCGAAAAAACTGCGAGTTGCCGTCGTTCGCCTCGAGGGGAGAGACGACGGATGGAAAGCCTATTATAAGGTGGCATTCGTCATGTCCGGGCGACACATCCATCCTTCGTGAACTCCTCCGGTGAATACCACCTCGAGAAACTATAATCCTCCGCCTGATCCCGCGGGGTCGAACACGCATCGCGTGCGACTATCGCGATCCCTAAATTCGCGCGATCAAAGACTTCCATCAATATCCCAAAGATACGGGAGAAAGAATAAAACAATGGTCTGCAGTGAAAAAAATGTTTTGATTATACCATCAAGAAGTCTGTGGAGATATTGCATTCTCGTAAATTCATATCAAATAAAATATCTGATTATCGAGATTGAATTTCTGATTACCTCAAAGATATCTTACAGTTAGAACATTTGATAGATTTAATTATAAGTATCTGATTCGTATCTCAAATCTATCTGGAAATCAGATTTCCAATTCATCATGCAACCAGATGTTTTCACGTGTGTTGTTCGTAAAAAAAAGATTTTTCTTTAAATTCTTTAAATTAATTAATTGAATAAAGATAAGAAGAGACAGGCGACGATAGTAATATGCGAGAAAATAAAATTGTGTCAGATGAAAGTTCCTTTTAACGCGCGAAAATTATTTAGTTTCGAAGTATGTGCTAGCGTAAAAGTACACGCGAAACAATTTAGAATAAAGCTTACGGAAACGTGTAACGCTAAATTACGGAGCGGAATAACTACAAATAATTAATAATTATCTACTATTTTATGCTCCGCGGTAAAATGGCCCGCGTTCTTGCCATACGGCGTGGCGCGGCGCGAACGTTCACTCGCGAGCGCTGCTAATAATTTACATTGCCTCGGCAAAACTGTAATTAAATTCACGCGCGATCGCGGATCGCGGAATGGGCGCGTCGCTGCATGACTCGCGAGATTTTGCGCCTGCTGAGCAAACTCCGAAACCAAACAGCCGCCGGTATATTGCATAAAGCATCACTTTTCCACGTGCGAGGCGTCGTCGTCGTCATCGTCGTCGTCGTCGTCGTCGTCATGCTCTGCGCCCTATATGCAGCCTTCGCAACAACTTCGCGACGGGCGAATTTGCGGCTATGCGGGTTCGCGGTACTTCGACCCGCGGGAGAGCGCTTGCGAGCCGCGTTTCCGCAAACACGCCTACCTGTACCACCGAATTCGGCGTTTTATTAATTTCGCTGCGTTACCCGCACGAGAGAAAGGCGCGCTTATATTTTTCAGCGGTTGCTGAATTGTTCACGGCGTACGGATTTAGTGGGTTCGACGGGAGTTCCCTCTGTTTCCAAGTTAACGCGAGTTTTAACATTCCGACCCGCAATGCAGTTTCAACAAAATCAACGCGCGCGTTCTGCCAACTTTCTCGCTGCCGAATATAATTGGGTCTGTTGTACAATTACCTTTTAATCGACGAGTTTTAAATGCGAGATACTTTCTCTGAATTCTCATATAATGCTATATACAGGATGCACTTAAATAATTGTGTCAAATATTCTGGGGATATATTTTCGTCGACTAAATATAAAAAAAAAAGTTTATATAAATATGGACTTGTACGAATTTTTCTTTTGAGATTTTGTCGATGAAAATACGTCCCTAAAATATTTGACACTTATTCGGATATAAAACCCTGTATAATAATAGCTATGTATTTAATCTTCATTTCGTGCTGACATCAAACGCACGGCCTTTATAACGGATAAACGCTAAATGCGCGCCCAAAAATACGGGCCATTATTTAGCCAGCTAAAGAACTGTTTCAACACCGCATGCAAACTCGCAGATTCAATTACCGTTTCATTATTGTTAACAGAAGCATGCGACCGAGAATAGTTAAACATTTCGCGCTTCGTCGGAGACGGGAGTGACATCGGCGGCGGCGGCGACGGTGGCGGCGGCACGTTTTCAGGCCTCCTCCGAGGTTCGTGCGAGAGTCGCGCGCGGTTTTCGCGTGCTTGCACGCGACGCGTCGAAAACGAGTTTGCACACGGCGAACAATAAACAGCCAAGTGCATCGACGGGTTTCTCCATCGCTCCCGTTAATGAGGAACGACGTAAAGAGCGCACGCGAACGCGAGGAGCACGCGCGCGCGAGTAGGGTGGAGACCGGGGATTCGGGGGCGTTTTGTGGGAAACGAGGACGATTCCGAAACTTGAACGCATGCGACGAACGAAGACACACATCGGCGCACACCCGCGGCGAAGGAAGGGACGGAGAGAAATCTGTGCCGTGTTTGCCGGTGTCTTTAGAACCGGGGCTCTACTTCGTTATCACGAGCGCGCTATCGCGCCGAGTTTACCCGCGTTCTGCTTGATATCCGTCCCCCGGCCAAAGCCGAAACTAAAACCCTACGGGAGAAAGACGTTACGGAGAAGAGACGCCGAGACACCCGCGAGAAGTTCTAACGCGCGCGTGTCTACTGACGCGCCCCATTACTCTCCCTTCCCTGCTGCTGGATACGATTAACGCGAACGTCAGCCGCGACTTTGAGAATAACATAAAAATGTAGTTTTAAAACGTAAACATTCTAAGACAAATGAATAAAAAAGATGAATGTACGTGTTAATTTAACAATATTATAAAAGTTAATTTTATTGCAGAAAAATGTTTCTAGGGCTATAGTCCGCTTGATGCTGCAAATGCTTTGAAGAATTTATCGATTGGTCAATTAGTAAAAATTGGTCAATCTAACGGTTCGAAGCATTTGTAGGGTCAAGTGGATCGCACCCTAGATTGTACGAAAGCGTTACATTTTTTTTGTATTTTGTCTTTACATAATGTTTGCGTTACATTTTAACCATCTTGTATAAAATTGACACAAAAATTTGGATTGATCGTTTGAGATATGTGAAATGTATTAAATTCAACATAAATCCAACTGTGTAAAAAGACTAAATGTTTCGTTGAATTACCTTTATATCCGGTATAGGTATTAAAAGTATTTATCTTATATTGCGTCTGATTCATATCTCTCAAATTTTTCCGACCAAACCTGCACCCGTGAAGAAATTGCGTTGTACAATACGTTCTTAATACACGGTTGATAATTCCATGTTACCTTTATCATTCGCGACAGGCCGCGAGTGTTATCACACATTTGCAGCGACTGCACGCCATTGTCTTATCGATGTAATGAGCGTCATTAGATAAGAACCGCTCGCGAATCGAGGACGTATGTGCGTATTAATGTCGCACGCAATGCACACATGCGATGGACAATGCGGCCCAAAATATGCCTGAATATGCGCGCGAGACCGGAATGTCAGTCGATAGAATTTTAAAATGCGCGTTAAATGCACAATTCCGCGCCGAGGCATTGAAACGGAGTATAAATTATCGCTGGCGAACAACGCGATCCGAGGTAAAGCCGCATTAATTCAACTTTCATCTCGTCAGCTCCAAATATCGAGGGAGAGAAATTCGAGACGTGGAACACATTAATCCCGGAGCGTGCTCCCGTTATCGCGTCTATCAGTGACGTGTCGAAAAATATGACGGGGAATATGACGGCAGATAAAGAACGCACGCCGGCCTCTGCACGCTTCTCCTTCATCGGGCGCAGATAACGTAAATTACGATGCGGTAAATCAATAATTACGAGCAACAAGCTTTGCGTCTCTCCTTCCGCGCGAGGAGCTGCGCGCGACATTGAAAATCGTCGGTGACGAAAATCAGGCATTATATTTTACGTGAAGATTTAAGCAAAGGATTTTTTTTCTTTCGGTAAAAACCAGTTTTCGTCAGTTGTAACGTTTCCGTGAATTTTATTTCCTTTCAAATTTCAGTCGACAAACAAAAGTTAAAAATCACAGACAATAACTTTAACATGGAATTAGTCAGTAGAATGAAATTTAAAAGAAAAAAGATCTCGACTCTTTTATATATCATTGGCTGCGAAATCAAAGTAAATATTTATCGTTGTATAAAGCTCTTTTATCGTCAATGAAATCGGATGTTCCGCAATTAACGTTAACCGTAAACCTAATTCGCTCGGATTTTTCCATGGTTTTTCGCGGATCGATATTCAAAGAAACGAGAAGCCCGAGAGAAGAGGCCGCCGAACCCGAAAGAGAGGAGTTTTTAAGTTCGTCGGATGTTGACACAGACAAATGGATCGATCGTCAGATTGATAAATGAACGACGGACCCGCTCGGCTATTCTATGCAAAAGGGTCGCTCGTTAGTACGTCCATCGTGTGTCGAAGAAAGTCTCGGGAAGATTCCGTGTCAGGGATCATGTCCGAAACAGGTCAGACGCGAACCGATTGCCGACGCGTGGAATCTCGTGGAAAATAACGGGCGGAGGAAAAACAAACGTCTCCACCATCTCCAGGGCGCGTTGCACGACCAAGAAACATTCTCTCGCTCTCGAAGTACTCATTCGAAATAATTTGCACCGCGATACATTTCTTGCCCGAAAGTCATTAAACTCGGTGTCGGAAAAGATTTTATAATTTTAAATTTGCAAATATTGTCAATTAAATTCATTTAAAGATAGCTTAAATAAACTTTACTGTCGATTTGACATTACAGCTGGTATTGCGATTTAGATAAAGCAAAGTATATATGTTGACGTGGGAATTTAGCAAGAGTTTACAGCTGATTAAATGGCTCTAAAACATAAACGTCGAACGATACGATACAGATAAGATTCTTTATAATGTTAGAGCTCGATATAATGGATAGATAATTAAGCACATTGAATAATCGTATGTTAAAACTTATCTCCCGTCGTGGCGAAACGTCGCAAAAAATTGAAGTGTCACGGAATTATGATGTAAGTACCATTAAACATTAAAATACTATACATAAAATTGTAATTTATCTCTTTTGGCATTAATGGATATTCGTAGTTTGAATAAAGCGCTCGGAAATAATTATAATAAATTCCATTTTTATAACGCACTCAAGGGAGCATATAGCAGTTTTTTTTTTTAAATTGCGTTAAATTTAAATATCAAAGAAAATTCTTTTTCGAGTTACGCAAAAGAATGGAGCGCTGTAAAAGATTAATTTTGCAAAGTACCTCATGTAGGACAGGGAAACGCATATGTCCGGCATTGTCGGGACACGCGGTAACATGAGGGATAAATAAACTGGTCCTTTTTAATCTCGTCTCCTCGTATTTCCGGTTCGCGGCGCGTCATTCTTCCCTCGCACATTTTGCCTTCATTCACCAAGTTGAAGGATATCCTAAACGAGAAAGCGTGACGCTTTGCGCGGCACGGTGGACGGGAAACAAAGCTGAGGTAAAAGGAAGGAAGAACGAGCAGCCGTGGAGAGCCAGTCAGAGAGAAGGAGAGAGAGAGAGAGAGGGAGAGAGAGAGAGAGAGAGAGAGAGAGAGGAAGAGAAGGAAAAGCGAAGGAAAAGAGTGGAAGGGGCCGAAGAATGGACTTCCGGTGAAAGCCTCTCGTCTCGAGCACCTGACCTGGACTAACTCGTCGTAAAGGGTCACGAACAGGAAATAATGGTCCGTGGGGAATGTGCAAAAGGCAAAGGCAAAGAATAAGAGGACTACGAGAAACGCGCGGGGTGGCGATGGGCGGGAGGACGCAGCGGGGGGAGAGGGGGGAAGGGAACGAGCGTGTGACGTGGGACAAGGAGGAAAGCGAGAAGAAGGAGGAGAAAGGCAGCGAAAGAAAAGAGATTCGTACTCACGGGTCATTGGTCTTGGGCAGGAGGGTGCCGAGCTCCTTGATCCTGTCGTTGATGTTGAAACGCCGCCGTCGTTCAACTGAAAACGGAAATTGTGCGCATCAATCATGGCTCGCTCTCGCGACAGATGAGATAGGTAGATAGATAGATAGATTGTGCCGTCTGTTAATTCGCCTGCTTAAATGGCGCGATCTGGATCGGCGTGCGTCGCGCGGGGACTACTCGTCTCTGAACGATTCGAGTTTTTGATTGGAATTTATTTTACGTATTTTTTACGGATTTTGATTTAACACAAATTTTCCAACTGTGTAAATTGAAGCTGAAATAGTAATACCATAAATTGATTGTCAATTTAATAATGATGATGCTAATAAGCATCCTAAAACAGATCTAAATCAAGAATGCTAAATCACATTGCGATAATTGTTGAAAATCAAACATTATATATAAATATATGATAATGCAGTAGAAATCATTTTTGTTGAGTCTATAGAATAATAAAATTTTTTGTCTTAAGAACCACAAAGACACTTCGTCTCTTTTCCACTTATATTCCCGAGAGAGAGGAGAGAACACAAAGCTATAGATTTCCCCTGTATTTCCTTCGACGCCAAGTCCTTCAGATCTACGTACGGACTATTACAATATTCTTCTCGAGTTTACAGCCACTTGACACGATTGGAAGTAAACGCGGGTACCCTTCGATCGCTCGATCGTAATAAATTACGTCGGTTGTCGTCCCGAATGCGCGTGCGAATTGTCGAGGGTCGAATCGCCCTCCGGTCCCCCGACACCCCCGGAGTATCGTCGTCCCGTATCGAAGTTATTCGGGAAAGCATATCGCGCTTTCCGGAGGATATAGCGTATCTCCCCTGCGGAAAAGACTACGAACGGGATCGCCCTATATCGCTGGCACGTGACCCCGTTCCCGATCGATTATTCCAGCCAGGTATCTCTCGGAACGAAGAGGTGCGAGAGGTCAAGCCGCTCGGCTCGCTTTATCGGTGTGCGGCTCCGATATCGCGATCGCGAGGGGGATAAGCGCCCGCTACCGGAAAAGTAAATTTGTCAAAGTGCGTGTCGGACTGAGACATCACTTCTCGCTCGAGTGACGGAAACGAAACATTACGTCGAAATTAATCGATAAAAATGAAAGGTACGAGGAATGGTCGATTAATTTCCTTCCGCTCTTTTTATTCGTCACAGCTCACAGGGTCGATAAGTAGATTTTATCTCCATTGAAATTAATCGACTTTGGGTGCGATAAGAATCGTAGATCGGAAGTAGAAGTTAACAATAAAAAAAACAAACAAAATATTTTTCTTTTTAATGAAATCGAGAAACAAGATAAATAAATTAATTTCCGGTTTTTTAATCACATTACACAAGTATAAATCAACAAATTTAATCTCTTGGAAATTTAATTTCTTGGAGCTTTTGTTAGGTTTTTTATTTTTTTTTTCTTTAGTATAGGGTACAGATAACCCGTTTGAAGGTGCGAAAAGAGTACAGAAAAGAAATTGCAGCTAGGACTTTAATTTTAGGACACAGAATTTTAGTCTTTTTGAAAACAAAGAAAACAGCGAATTAAAAGACTTCTCCGAAATAAGATTTTCAAACTACACGAAAATACTTCGACTTTGTGGAAGTCAAATATAGTTAAGGAAAAATCGGTACCAAATAAGATCTACATTCAGTTTCTGGAGCACTTCAAAGTGCATCACAGATCCACGTCACGCCAAACTAAATTCTGCAAATTGCTGATTCATACAGAGACAAATATTTGTAAATAGCACGATAGAACGGGGCTATAAAAGACCGAGATACGAGATCGAGGAGATTGCGTCGTACGCGCAAAGAGATGAAGGAGCAGCCTTGAAAACTTTAAGGAAGTTGTAACTTCCTTTCTCGAATTCGATTCGCTTCAGGGAGAGAGAGAGAGAGAGAGAAAAAGAACAAGGGAGTGAGAAGCGGAGGAACGACAGAGGGGGAGAGAGAGAGAGAGAGAGAGAGAGACAAGTGGACCTCACAGAAAGGACGCGGGTCGGACGATTTCCTCTGATCCGGCTGATTAGATTACGATGGTTAATTCGGAGGAGCATGGGAGGCAGACTGAAAAATCGATAAGCATCGATGGGGACGAGACAAACCGGGGCGAGAAGAGAACGTATCTACCTACGATTCTCTGTCGGGAAGATGCGCGAACCTATGCTTTTCACTTGGAATCAAGAGAAGCACGCCTTCCTAATCGACGACGACGAGTCTCATTAATCAGCTAACCCTCTCCGGTTTCCGGGTGGGAAGGAATTATCCGCGAGATACGGGCAAAGATTAGAGAAAAGCCTCTCGTCAGCCTTGGTCCGGGTTCTCCCTACGAAAGAGAATGCAAACTTGCCTCCCCGGCAAGCGTTAGGAACGCTGCGCGTGGATAAATAACAACACGCTTTCCGTGTTGTACGATTATAAAAATCGGGATTTTCTTCGTATTTTACCTTATAATTCTTCGACGAATACTCTGAATTTATATAAGAAAATATCTCAAATCTCTGATATTTAATAATTAATTTATTTGTTTTATCATCAATTAAAAAAAAAAAGAATTTCGTAAAATTTGTTCGATTCGAAAAAAAAATTGAAATTTCAAATCTCTCGAACGTGTATAATACAATCTAGAGCGGAAATAAAATCACTTATTCAATTCAACGTGCGAGTTCCCGCGAATAAAACAGATTTGGAAAAGATGCAATTAAAGAGAGAGAAAAACAGAAGGAATAAACAAATTAGTAAAAGGCGAGACGCATTTGCAAATCGATTCGTGTCGCATGCGCATCGATCGCGCGGAAAAAGAGCAGCTCCCATCGATAAGCACCTCCTTTGTCTCGCCGCGTACAGCGTACACGTAGAACCGCCGTGCAATCGACAATGCACCTCGCGGGGATAGCACAATAGCAGTCGATAAGTGGCGGGACAAAGAGGGGGCGAATTAGCGGCGCGACGGCGCGACTATTTTTGCAGAATTCCTATTTTATTTCCGATGTCCCCGCGTGTGCTCTGCGGTCGTTATTTCTCCATTCTCTCTTACAAATTCGATCCCGATTCCTCCGTTCCGTGCCGCCCCGGCCGAACCGGACTTTCATTACGTCCGCGATTGTTTTCGGAAAATTGGATGCTCCGGTACCTCCCGGATACCAACCCACGGCGCCGCCCCCGATTTCCGCTTGTTTCGTTCGCGCCGTGCCATTTTTTTGCAATTTTAGCGACGCCTTAATCGCGAGAGACAACAACGAGGTAGAATCGTGAAAAAAACGACCGGTTTGTATCTCGAAACATAGAGTAGATTAAAGAATATCTATGATGCAACTTTTTCACCAAATCAAATTATGGTTCAAGAAATCAACTTTAATTAATTATCAATAATATTACTTCATTTTTTATGTATTGCGTACAAAAGTATTTGTGAAGTTAGCACGATATATCGTTAATTTTTAGAAAACAATAGTTCTACACGGAAAGAACGATTTTGCTGGAAGGTCAAAATTGGATCTGAAAATAATTTTGTTGCACGGAAATCAAAATAATTTTGTAGAAAAGTCAAACTGATTTGCTAAAATATCAAAATGTTTAACAGCAATGCTTATCATTTTTGAGTCTCCAACAAAATTATTTTTAGATCCAATTTCGACCTTCCAGCAAAATCGTTCTTTCCGTGTAGCACTTTCTATAGTTCTACCATTCCTGATAAACATTAAAAAATGTTCCGCATTAAAAAAAAATTTTTTTACAAAAAAAAGAAATGACGTACTTCACGTTCCAGCATGACACATATTTAAACTACTTTAAAGTATTATATACCGTCATATATAATATTACGACATCTGTCAAGTTTTTCCGTTAATTCTAAGTTATTTACATAATTATAGCGTTTCAAGACAAAATTGCAATAATTAATCATTTTTACATATAGTTCTGCATACTCATAGCAGCACGATATTTGGCGGACATATGTCATACTGATAGTTTTCGGCACTTATACTGGCGATAATTTTGGCTTGTTCCGATCGAGTTCTACACGAATGAATTATTTTCCAAAATTGTTTCGTCTTATAAATATTTTTAAAAATAATTTTGAGGATAATTGCGTATGTTTTCTTGCAAGATTACGAATCGGGATGCAATAAAGCGTGTCTGTACTACGTACACGTATGCACTTCCTGAATGCGATTCGGAAAATTCGCGCATGCAGCCAAGTTTTACTGCACCGCGCCGAAAAGCGAGGCGAGATAATTGAAGCTCACTGATTACTCGGTCAAATTTACAGGATCGCCGCGAGTCGCGCGAACACAATCGCGCGATTCGGCACGTAACGTGTATCGAACCGTGGTCGACGGCGGACGGCCCGGTAAAAGCCTGGCACACTGTACGAATATCGCTGCTCGAAAATTGTTTAGTCGCTTGTTACGCGCGCCGCGTAGGGGATAATTTATTTCGTCACCTTAATGAGAAACCCTCGTAACGGCGATTCTATTGATTTTCGACGCTTAACATTTTTCCGCGAAATTGATCGTTACGCTTTTAGAGCGTAGAGTGTCTCTTAAAACTGTCGAATTTGAACTGTTTTCTCGTAAATTAAATTAAAAGTACGTTCTTATGAGATATATAAGTACACTGCAAATCCAAGTGTATAAAAAGTATATCATACGTGTAAAAATGGCATACTTAAATGTGTAAATTCGTATTTTTAGTGTGTTATTTTTACACAGGCGAGGTACTTTTTATACACCTTGAATTTGCAGTGCATGTGCTTGGAATATTATCTTCATACATGCTGCAAATCTTTGAAAAGAATAGCAACTACGTGTGCATCTGCATCTGTTAAGCAGCGTCTTACTTTAGCTTTTTTATAAATTTAGTAAACCAAAACTTCATGCAGCGTTAAAAGAAAAATATAGATATTACGACTAAAATAACTAGAATCTTGATTATTATTCAGAACGTCACTCCGTTGGCGTAAAAAATTATTGAAAAATGTTAAAAGCTGTCTCACTTGCAAAAACATTAAATTTAGAAAAATGGCTTTATACATAACGACAGAGAATATTTTCATTAAATTCACGTCGGCAATGCGCGAAGGCGATTACATTCGGCCTGTCATCGTTGTTGTGTGCGTTAACAAATACTAACCAGACAATAGTTTAATTGACTACATTTGTGATAATAATAGACGGCCGAAGCGCCAACGATGCGCGGGGCACAGCGAGATACTTTTTCATTGTCATTTAAATAGTCCACTTACGTCGCAGGCACCGCGTATTGGCATAAGTGTAGTAAATGCCGGTAACAATAACGACGTCATGGTACCCGCCGATTGCTACTATTGAGGTGTAAATTGCACGGTGGCGCTTATCAATTATTTCTACACGGGCAAACAGACGCTTGCTTGCAACCTGTCGATCGAACGACAATTCAAAGCGACGCTGTATAAAGAAGCAAGATTAAAACATCAACTTTATTACAGAAGCCACGTGCCTTATGAGGCGCAAGAAAAACTTCGAAGCACGAAATTTTGAATTTGATGACTCAACCAACATCGATAAGCTCTCTTTAACGAGAAATAAAACAGGCATTTATTCACGTAATATATAAATAATTAATAGTAATTTCCAAACTTAAGAAATGAATATAAAAAGAAAACGTAATCAATTGCTTGAATATTTCCATTAATTCGGAAAATGTCTTGTACAAGTTCCGTTTATTTAATTTCCAAACATTATATCTATGTAATTTGTAATTAATTAGAATCGATAAATCAATTTTTAACAAAGGCCATAATGCAATCACAAAAGTGTTAGCATAAACGTGTAAAAAACTAAGTATTTTAAATCACGCGACGGCTTAATAATTTAAAATTTTAAAAATTTTACAATTAAAATAATTAAAAAATTAATATTTAAAAAATCACGGAATTTTTCTACCTAATCGAGGATAGTGGTTATCGACTTACTCATATTGTGGTTATCCTTTTTCTGCCGATCTTTCGCGAGGGCGTGGATCTCTGCCTCGGTGAGCAAGAGTGGTTCCGGTTTAATTTGAAGCTCCGGTATATTCGTAAGACTTCCGGCCTGGCCGTCCTTCAGTCCGTCGCCCAAGGAACCGGCCTCGAACGACAGAATGTCGTCCAGGAGGTCCTCAGCCTGCAATTACAGAAAAAAAAATTGTTATTCGGAGAACACATTTACTTGTGCGACACACATTAACTATAAAGAAGTATGTTATGCGAATTTTATATAAATTTCCAATAATTAAAAAATATATCAAACAGTAAATATTACGTCGCAAATTCCTATGTATAGCATCGCATAAAAGAGAGAAAGAGAGATACCAAAGTCACGTTAAAAAATTAAATGCACTATTGATAGAAAAACGAGAAAGCGATCCTCGGAAGAGACCGATATGATTTATTATCGTTCCGTATCCTACGGATCTCGACGACTGTCGTAAATGAAAAAAACTACATTATGCAATCTATGTGAAACGGCACGCTTTTTACTAGAGAGCATTCGGTGATAAAGCGAACTCTCGTCGCGCCACCCTCAACAACATTACCAGGACTCGCTCGGTGGTTAATGCAATTTTTCCCCGGGACCGGGAATCTTACGATCGCGACGCAAATGATCGTTCCTCACGAAGGGCGAGGAAGCGAGAGACGGAGAGAGCTTCGAAGGAGGAAAGGAATTCAAAGGGAGCGGATGGAACTCGAGAGGTGTGCACGTCGTTAATAATTCCCGGGGCGCGATCGGGACGTTGTTCGCTAAATCACCCTTTCACGCCTTAAAGACTCGTTGTCTTCTCTCCAGCTCGCGCGATATATCGGCCGTAATGTTATTCACGGGGCTTCCCGTGATAAAATGATTCACGCGTCAACGTGGCCACCACCGCGCCGCGTCGCGTAGTTGCGAAATCGAACTCGGCTCTTTTCCCGTTTCCCTCTTTCTTCGTCGGACATTTATTCACCAATCCTTCCCACGTCCGTTCCATTCCGCACGCAACAATATTCTGCCGCGAAAACCTGCGCCGATAAACGATCGTTCGTCGCGACACGTGATACGGATTTAAGTGCCGAATATCGTTATATCGTTCGACCGATCGATAAAACGAAACACGACGTGCGCTTCGTAGCGATAAATCCCGGTCAGTCGGAATTCAGTGGAAATAGCAGCGAATTTGTTTTTTTTTTTCACGCGATTATCTGCGAAACGTATCTCTATTGCAAATTAAAGATTGCGCAAAGTGTTGTGGTGATTTGCGCGATAAGAACGAAGCGTAAGACGCATCGCAAGCGAGAATAAGATGCGCTAAATGAATACAACACACTTCATTCACAAGAACATTCAATTTCCTGATGGTCATTGATAATTTGCTTTTTTTTTTCTCTACCGGGTAGTCGAGTAAATTATGAACAATTAATCTTTTATCTCCTATTTCCTGAATTATCCTCTGAAAAGAAACAAAAATATTTAAACGTGCAGCTTTTGACCAAAAGTATTAATTAAGCATCTGTATTTTTTTTCATTTATCTGAAATTTGTTTATCCGTATTCCTATTAGTTATCAGTTGTACATAAGTAGTTTAAAAGATTCTCGAAACAAAGGATAATTCACAGCAAATACAATAAATTTATTTTTTAGCTGAAACGTTAAATGATTGTTAATAAGGCACCTGATACTTTTGGGCCAAGGCTATATATATATTTTTATAATAAAAAAATATTCAGATCTCTGTCACTTGAGATCTGTACAAAGGAATCAGTAAAGCAAACGACAATAAAATGTTGCGATATTTTTTAAATTTTCAGTCACTTCGCACAAAATCCTGGCGGAAAGATAAATACCCTTTGGAGAATATCGTCGCCAAAATCGTAGAATTAAGGTAATATATACGATTGTGTCGGCAACTCCGCAAGACGCGAATCCCGAAGCGGACTCGTCTCGCCGATCTGCGCCCGTGCATGTGCATCGCGACTGCTGATGCAGCGACGTGTACGTGTGTGACGTTACGTAAACATTACGTAAACAATAATAGGCGAGCTCTGTGCCGGTCTGCGGAACAACGTTTCGACGCCGACTGCTGCCGCCGACGACGGGAGATGAATCGAGTTACCTACCTCTCGGTCCGACGGACACGCTTTGACGCGAGCGAACCGACGAAAGCCGTGCGCCATGGCCGCGAGCGAGAAACACGTTAATTGTATAATGGCCTAAATGTACCGACGCGTGTATAGGGTATGTCGCGCATCTTCCGCGGCAGGCATTGCAGTTCAAATTAAGATGATTGTTTCTGTTTCGGTGCCGACGCGCGTTGAGACGATAATTAAAAATCAAAGTCAGAGTTATTTGTCGATACCCTTGAAAAGATTTTAATTTGGGTTCTTAGAATCTTAAGACATTTCATTTAAGAAATGAAGCAAACGTTTTGCAAAAAAAATTAAATTTAAGCAGAGATCGCGACGGAAAACGAAACTGAATTACGTTCTCTGAGAGCAGTTTTCCTGTCATTTTTGATACGCTAGGAAAATTGTGCTTCTGAAAGAGTAACAACGGGACACCGTGTAGGCTCCTGAGGAACGCGCACGCAAAGAGGCAATTCCAACAGTCACGACGGCGAGGATGAATGGTGCGAGCGCGAAGAAGATGAGAAGCGGGTAGATGGATGACAGAGACAGCATCGATCGCCGGCTGTGGTCAATGAAACTGATGCGCGTCGAAAGGGAGGCGGTGATCGGTGAAGGGACGATAATGTATAGCGTATGCGATACGCGATCAAAGTAAATTGCTCCTGCAATACGAGCGCCAAGATGACGTACGCGCGAACGTCTGCGGTTCAGCATTTGACTCCGTAGCGCATCTTTCTTACGAAATCCGAACGTATAAATAAATAATAAATACGAATAATTAGATAATAAAAAAAAATACTGGAACAGAAATAACTTTGTTACAAAAGAAGATTATAATTACATACAATATCCATGAAATAATGAGCGTTTTCTGATCTCAGCAGAAAATAAAATGTATAAACGTAACGTAAAAAGGTAAAAATAAATGAGCTTTATGATAATCATTGAGTCTTTAAATTTATATTATTTTCTTTAAAGCTCTGGTCAGTAAGATCTCGTTTGGGATTGTTTCATGTTACGTTTACAGGAACAAAATTTGATGATTTGGCCATTTCGTAGAATTATAACTACAATCCTATCGTGAATCACGTTCGACATAATAAAACGTGGTCGGAAATTCGACGCTGCGTTTGTAACGATCTGTAACAGCTATCTGGCCGGGCTGATATTAACTGGCGATAAAGAGTCGGACCGACCTGCAACGAACGGCCTTTTATTTCGCCGTTTTCTATGTCGATTTCGTGAATTATACCGCGACGCGCGCACGCAATTCCCGTAAACGCATTTGATGGTGAGGGGGAGGGGAACCCGTCGCTCGTTAAGCGCGCGAAAAAAAAGAACACGCTACACCTCGTTAAACGTCATCAGTCGTTAATGGACACCCGTTTCATTCGCCGGTCTCGTTATGCACGCCGTATATATCGCAGTGTATATGCAGCGTAAACGAATCGTCTTTTAAAGAGCCGCGTTACGGTCGAAACAGCCTTGGCCGTAGACGCGTGCGAATAGTTTGATTCTCGATCGTGCACGCGCGGCATACGCGTCGTGCGGATCATTAATTAGGAACGTTATGGAGTCCGGCAAAAACTGAGACTATCGAATTTTTTGCGTCGTACCTGCGTACAAACAACACATATTGTGTCGTACATATCCAATTTAGCTTCTAATCGTAAATTGAAAGCCTCCATGGAAGAGCATCCAGTGTTTTTTAAATTTTACAAAAAATAGAAAAAAAAACATGTTAATGTATAAGCAGATTTTTTAATTAAAAACATTACTTTTCACACACAGTTGGAAAATTTATGTTAAATATGACACATTTTACACGTCCCAAACATTCACCCAAATTTTTGTAATAATTTAACATAAGGTGAATATGTTAGAAAGTAACACAAACATTATGAAAAAAAATTAACATAAAAAATGTAATTTTGATACAAATTGCGAAAGCGTATTCTTTCAGTAAAATTAGCACGTCATCTTTTATTCATTTACTTTAGAATTTATGTTTTAAAACATTATTTTTATGTTGTTCATTCATAAATTATTTTAACGCGAAAAATTGTTGAATATTAATTTAACACAAAATATTTAAATAATATATTCACATTATGTTAAATTAATATTCAGGTATGTTAAAAATTTAACACAAGTACAAAATGTTTTCTACTATATAAAAATGACGGTAACGTTTTTCCAGAAAGTTTTTCCTTCAGTGTGTAGATTTTTTAAAGTACGTTATTTACGTCACTTTTAAATTAATCGATCGCAAATTATCGTTAATAGAAATATTACACAAATTACTAAGCTGCCGTCCGATGAAGAAATATCGTTCAAGTTCGCGATAAATTTTTCCTGATTGGAGGGCAGTTGGTATTTTCCCTCGATTATGAAACTGTCCGCCGTCCTTTCCGCGAAGGAAAAATTGTCGTTACTGGTCGGTTAAACAGTGCCGCGCTCGCGAACTGAAATTATCAACGAATCATTCAGCAACGAGCGGAGCGAATTGCAACGACAGGAAGCAATTGCGTCTGCGATTGCGTAACGAAAGAAGATTATAATTGCATACAATTAAGTACCGCAAGCATGCGAGATAACGTCTCGAACGGCTTTAATTAATTCCGGTCGCATAAGATATATCCGATCGTATCCGTGCATGCACGGCAAGAAATCGCGACGAGATGCAGTCCTTGTTCCGTTAACTATTTCGTATCTATATCTGCAATTCTTGGTAGAAACGAGTAACAATTGTAGGAGACGCGTCTGTAATACTTCTAAATTAATACCATCGTGAATAATGTTACGATACGAATGTAGAAGTCTTAATATAATATATATATTTACATAACGAAAATATAAATTGTATTAATATGTATAATAAAATGAATAAATCTTATCCACAAATTATGGCGGGCATTTAAACTAACATTCAACAAATGAATCTGAGCAAAGAAACAAAAGCCTCGTTTTCCATTGGGCTATATATTTTTTTTAAATATGTATCCTCACATCTATGTAAAT